GAGCCCGCAGCGCCCCCTGCTGGCCGTGCCCGGAACTGCACCAAGGGCAAAGAGCCCGTGGCCAGGAAGGGTCCCTGGGTCCCTGCTCTGGTTGGTGTCAGTGCTGCAGTTCTTGTTTGTTTGCTTTATTATACACTGGTAAAGAACTGTTATTCCTATCCTTATCTTTGCCTGACAGCCCCTTAATTTCAAAATTATAGTAATTCAGAGGGAGGGGGTTTACATTTTCCATTCCAAGGGAGGCTCCTGCCTTCCTTAGCAGACACCTGTCTTTCAAACCAAGACAAGCGTATCAAATGCTGTGATAGTCTCTTTAATTTAAGAATATTAAACTGTAAGATGCATCTACAGGAATAGTTTCTAGAACTCCTTGTATAACTATAGCAGGTTTATTCCAATAATACATATTGCAGAAATCTTTAAATTTGCTGAAAGTGTTTGCTATGGAATATAATAAAAATCAGTTGTAGAAAAGGAAATCAACTGCAGCATTGCATAAAAATGCTTTTGCTTTGGAAATCAAAGATTTTATTGTCTTGCTGTAGGCAAGGTATAATGTTAGCAATGTTAAATTCTGTGTTGCAATAAGTTATACTGTTCTGCTTAAATAGATCCAAATAATGATGTGTCTGACTAGATGATATTAGTTAAGGTAAATCAAAAAAACTCTTACAAGAAAAAGGTTTGAATAGGCCATGGAAAATTAATATTAAATTTCCTGTTGTCTACCTCATTACCTTGTTGGATGACTTGTATTAAAAGCAGTGAAGCAAAGAATCAGTAACTTGGGCCTTTGCCATTTCTGCAGCGCAGCAGATACACATATCACACAATTTATACAGAAATTATGTATGTTGAGTATGCTTTCCTGGACTATAAGTGCAAAAGACTAGAACTTATGACTTTATTATGATACTTCAAGATTCTGCCTTTTGAATTATCCCTGAAAGCCATTGTTATTAAGACACAGGACTGTTGGGAATCACAAAAGCTATTCTTGTTTGTACATTATTCTTAAATAAGGATGCATGTTTATATTTATACTCTATGCCCGCTTAAACATGTAAATACATAAACTGCTGTTCACAGAAACATCAAAGCTGATTGTGACTATATCTGAACAAAGAGAAATGATTACTAGTTTACAGTGTAATTTAGTTTATGAAAAAGAAATCTCGAGGAAAAGTATTTTGATTGCTGCTCTTATTAAAAAGGTATTTCTTGAACATGTAGTCTTTCTCTGAGAATATATTTCACACCCAGCTTTGACAACTCTTGCTGAGAAAGCTCATTAGAATTAATGGGATAATTGGGAAAAAAAGGGTTTGTAGGCCAGAGGAAGTAAATGCATCATGAGATGATGGCTTCAGTGGGGAAGCTGTTTTAATGCTTCCTGGAACTCCTGGAGCTGTTCCTATGCAATAACACCACATGTTTGTCAGCACAACCATTTGAGTGCGAGACTGCATCATCAAACTAGTAGGAGAAGATAATCCAAGAATGCAGTGGATTGTATGACTTGCTTTAATTAAGCTGTTTTTCTAATTTCAGTCCCTCTGATAATTATATTATGCTATGACAAAGAAAGGTATAATGTGAAGTCACCCATAACTTCTGCATTGACTTTTGTCAATGTCTACACCCTTGCAAATTGACATCCTGGAAACAACCTAGGCCTCTAATACATCTGATTTTGAAGGCAGTATTGCACTGGAATTCATAGTCTGTCATTTTCCAAAATGGAAGGAATTTGGTAGGTTGATATCTTAAAAAGGTAAAATATAATTTTTCTGATATAATGGTTCACTATTCAAAAGCCAAAGAAAAACGCCTAGTTACCCACAGATTTTCTTAGAAGAAAAATGTAGAAGAAAACTGATGTTATCTGATCCCCAAAATCAATAATTAAAAGTACAAGTACCAGTCTCTCTTACTGGAAACACAAAACTGAAACAGTCAAAAAGTCTGTTGGGAATTTAAGGAAACAGGTTGCAAGCTATTTTTTATTTCTGCAGGTAGTGAAGAAGATGTATGTTTTTATGGGACTTCCCACATTTCTGAGTGGCAACCTGGAAACTGCTTTGATCTTGTTTCAATAAAATACCATATTGAGGAATCTGAATTCTGCAAAACTTTATTAATCTCAGCCAGGGATATAGTATTGATAAAAGTCACACGCTGTGAATCAGGGCATATGAACAAACTCCTTGACTTCAACCAAACTGACAGGGATGAACTGGTTCTAATCAGAAATTAAGCCCAGGCGCCCTCAGCCCCTCTGATCACAGAGTCACAGAATGGCTTGGTTTGGAGGGTCCTTAGAAATTGCCTTGTTCCAGCCCTGCTGGGCACATTAAAATGGAAACACGGGTCTGCAGTCACCGTCAAGAGCAGAGAGGAACCTGCTCATTCTCTGCAACTCCCAGACATGCCATCTGGGCTAGTGCAGGTCAGGCTCTGCTCCCAGGAAACAAGGTGGGGGACAAGGGGAAATGGCCTCAATTTCTGCCACGGCAGGATTCGACTAGGTACTGGGGAAAAATTTTGCCTCTGAAAGGGCTGTCAAGCAATGGGAAAGGCTGCCCATGGAATTGGTGCAATTGTCATTGCTTGAGGCACTTCAGGAATGTGTAGATGTGGCACTTGGAGACATGGTTATGAGGTGGACTTGTCAGTGTCTGGTTTGTGCCCTCTGACTTGATGGCAGAACCAATGTGGGACATGACCCAGCCCAGGTGCTGGCAGCTGTGAGCTGACTTAAGCCATACAGATGAGCCTTCCATGTTGGCTAGCACCGGTGCTGGCAGCTGAGCCAATGGCAACATGCCATCTTAGCCTACTGCAGAACCCTTTCAGGGTCAAGGTGGGGCAGGGGAGGGGGGTTCAGTGGCTCTTGCAGCTCCTGAGCACAAGGTGAGAAAAAGAGAAACTTTGTGACCCATCAATTCCTCGGACTGACACAAAAGAAGGAAGAGAAGGGCAAAGGCAGAGTTTTGAGTTCCATGTAGGCAGCACTGAGAGGGGAACCACTCAAATCCAGGTCATCTGCATTGAAAATTTACCGGTTTTCTTGTGGGAAAAAATGGCTGCAAACCAAAGACAGCACAAACCCCAAACCCAAACAATAACGTTTGAATTTCCTGTAACTGATGGCTGAGAAAAGCTGCTGTGCAGCTCTGATGGTCTGTTCTCTGCACCCTCCTCATCTCTGCTTGTCTCAGGGGTCTACAAAGGCAGGTGAGGGTTTCTTCGTGCTCTTGCCTGTGCTGAAACCAAACAGCCTTGGGGTGCCCAGTGCTGTTAGCAGGAGAGCTGGTGAAAGTCACTGCAGTCCACGCAGCCTTTGCCTCCAAGGCTCCAGAGTCACAAGGGCAGAAAGCTGTAGCCTAAGCTGGATTGCAGTAGCACCTTGTTGAGCTTGTCTGTCCTCTGGCATCCCTCCTTCAGGCTGGGCAGTGTAAATATGAGCTGCTTTCACGGGGAATTCAGGCTTTGCCCAAACTGAGGCCTTGCTGAAGGCAAAGGCCAAGGAAGGGCTCTCACTTGTGCTGCTGGTGCCTTGGAAGGCCCTGGAGTAAGAGGGCATTTCTTGTCTGCCAGGGTGCCCTCTTCACAGTCTGGCCTCGCGGCTTAGCAAAATCCACACGGACATGCGGGGACATTCCAGCACTGACTTTCACTCCAAACCTTTCCATTTTCTAGTGGGAACATTCTGATTTTTCCTTCTGCTTGGAAGGGGATGGATTCCCTCCTTTGATGTCTTTGCCACAAAGGTTCTCCTCACGTGAAAACGCTTCCAAGCAGCCTGAAACTCTTCTGCCCACCAACAATCCATTTTCTCCCACTGGATCACGGGATGAACGGTGCAAAAGCACCACATTTCTCTCCTCTGAGAGGAGCGGGATTCTCAGCCCAAGGGCCTGACACAATGCAGATGGTCCCTGAAGGGAGTTTGTAGCTATGTAGTGGTCATTACATTAGCCCGGGGAACAAACAATATGACCAGAGGAAAATGACCTCAAGTTGAGCCATGGGAGGTTTAGATTGGATCTGTCCAATCAGCAAAAAGGATATTAAGCTTGGGAACAGGCTGTCTATGGAAACAGCTGAGTCCGCACCCTCAGAAAGGTTTAAAAGTCATGTGGCTGTGGCATCTGGGGACCTGGCCAATTGGTGCAGCGGGCAGTGTTAAGTTCGCCATTGGACTGTGTGATCTTCAGGGACTTTCACAACCTCACTGACTCTGAGATTGAAGTGTAGCTCAATCAGTGAGGAGTCAAAGCTTAGACTCAATGATCCTCAAGTGTGCCTTCCCACATGGATATCTATGAGATTGCCAATGAAGGGCCAATGAAAATTAATGCAAGAGAAAGATCGATGGGTGTTCTTTGGAAAAGATCCACTCAAAGGCAGTCTTAACCAGTACAAGAGGGCCACTCTGAGTGGCTAAGCCATGGTGGGGACAAAGGGTGGGGTAGTCTGGGTTGTGATGGGCTGTGTGACAGCTGTGACATCACGGGGGAGGTGTCACAATGCGGGGAGGTATAAAAGGATCCTCTGCCCAGCAGGTAACTTGGTCCTGCATTGCTTGGGCAAGCGGTGAGTGCACAGGTGGTGGGGAGGCTGGGCTGGGGACAAGGGCCGGGGCAGAAATGCTTTGCCCAGGGCTGGGTTCTCCCCCTGCATGCAGGGACAGCCCCTGATGGGAGAGCCTCAGGCAGGCCATGCTGCTGCTGCTGCTGCTGCTGCTGGGGCAGCGGGACAGGTGTTGCTACCTGCCAGCTGTCTGGGGTCCTGTCCTTCCTGCCCTCATACCCCTGAAGATTGCCATTCCTGCTGCTCACACTGCCAGCTGCCTCCCTCACAGCCCCACTCAAGGCCTTCTCTCCATCCTCCTGCAGACCATGAATTCCATTGTATTGCTTTTCATGCTCTTGAAAAACCTCATCCAGTACCCGCAGCCGGTGGGTGATGTATGGGATGAGGAAACACGTCTGCGCATGGAAATGCGTGCAAGGTACCTGGAATGGGAGAGGATTCGGCTGGAGCAAGAGGTGGAGCAGCTCACCCTGAAGCAGGTGCAGCCCTTGCAGGTCTTAGCTATTGCATTGCTCCTGGTCCTTGCCTTGGTCCTATTGTTGATGGGGTGCAAAAGGAGCCTGAGGAGAGAAGAGTATGAAGAAGAAAACTATGGTGCAAATGAAGAGGAAGTCAGAAATGGGGATGCACATGAAGAAGTAGATGTTGGAAATGCAGAAGAAGAAGATGATGCAAATCGGGAGGAAGATGGCAATGTACAGGAAGACGGCAATGTTGCTGCAAATGGAGAAGATAATATTGAAAATGAAGTTGTCAATGAGGCTGCAAATGCAGAAAACAATGACCTTACAATTGCAGTCAGAGAGAATGATCTTGCTGATAATGTTGGAAGAATTCTACTGGAACGCATACAGTGGCCTGTACAGGACCTGCAGAAAGGCTGTGAGTGGACAACGAATCTCATGGATAATTATGCACTTTACTTTGGACACATCTTATCAAACAGCTTCTACCCAGTCCTGCAACGAGCCATCGGGGTGGGCAGTGCCTTTGAAGGTTGGAGTCCCCGTGAGCAGGATGTTGTGTACCAGGTGCTCATCCCCATGACTCCTCCCCGAGGCCACAGCTTCCACCTGGAGCTGGACTCTGCAGAGCAGAGGCACGTGAGGAACTTCCGTGTCCGCGTGCAGCTGGAGTGCACCTGCACGGAGGAGCAGGGTGAGATCATGCTGTGCTTCCTGCACCACCCCGAGGAGGAGCTGAGGAGGAATCAGGATCCCAGCCTCCTTGACACCCTGTGCACTGACTCCTACCTCGATGTGGAGAAGACTGCCCGCTGGTTCTACCAGCTGGTGAGAGCAATCTGGCCAGCTTTGCCTCAGTCACAAAATTGGCATTTAATGCTGCTGCCTTCCAGACGCTCTTGCCAATTCAAGGTGTCCAATGGCAGAGAAAGCTTCAGGATCGAGATGCTGTTTGGGGTTCGGAGAGGTGACTCCGATGTCTTTGTGAGCAGCCAGCCTAGAGAGGCCCATACCCAAAGCACCACCTGGCCTGAGACTTACACTGTGGCAGAGACTGAATTCTTCAAACACGTTGCCAAGCAGGCACCTCCTGACAGCTTGCACCTAAAATGCCTGCAGTTCTTCACCCGTCTTCTGCTGGGCTTGGGTTTTTCCACCTACACCATTAAGACCATTGTCATGCACCTGCTCAATGTTGTGCCCGTGTCACAGTGGCGCAGAAGAGATTTTCTGCAGCGACTGATGGATATAAGCGAGAGCCTGTGGTTATGTGTGCAAGCCAAGTGCCTCAACCACTTCATTGTGGGTAACCAGAGGCTGCCTCAGGACATCCGTTTGCCCCCAGATGTTCAAATGGGTCAGACGTACAATCTCTTCCATCGCCTGGCAGAAGACTCAGCTGCCCACACCCAGGCGATAAGTGAGTATCGGGTTCTTCGAAAGTGGTGCAAAAGAATCCTTGTCGGTGAACATTGAATGAACGTGCTAATGCACAGAGGGGTGCTTGTGCTGCTCACAGCTGGGAGCAGAGAGCCATCTCATAATACAAATTTGGTGCTTTAAGGAGAACAAGATGTAGCTAAAGGCTCTGGCAAAGGCCCCACAGCCTCTCCTGCTGCCTCAGCAGGTGGAGGGCCACAGGAGGGTTTATTCTACCTCCTTCTATCATTACATTTTCCAAAAAAAGCACCCAGATCTGTGTAAAGCCCAGCTGGAATTTCGCTACTCCTAAGAATGTGTGTGAAGAGTGAACATGCCGTACGGGCAGGAGCGAAGTCACCAAGTGCCCACCTGCAACATGCACTTCTTCCCAGAATTTGAGAAGTGGCAAGAGTTACAGCATGAAAGAAGCAGGAATGTGGGACAGAAAAAGGAAAAGAAAGAGGGCAAAAAAGACCAAGACCAAGAGCAAAAATCAGTGCTGCTTGGCTGGGATCAGTCAATGGATGGTGTATCACCTTGTGCCTGACAAGGACACCTTTAGGTTAGCGTTGGACAGTCTTGGCGCTGACCTGAAATTTTGTCTATATAAGAATCTAGATGTTTTTCTGTAGAGTTGAATACGTAATTATGTTTAAATAATAATAATAATAGTAATAGAGCACATATAAAGGGTCGCTATCTGATGCGACCCATATAGTTAGTGCATTTATGAACGGCAATATGCCGCAAGAAATTGCTTTGACGTTGTTTCAATAAAATACAATATTGCAGAATCTGGACGATGCAAGACCTTATTGATCTCAACCAGACCTATAGTAGATCTCACAAGCTATGAATCTGGGCTTGTGAGATGTCTGCTTGAACTCAACCAAACTGACAGGGCTGAACTGGTTCTAATCAGAAATTAAGCCCAGGTGCCCCCGGCCCCCTCTGATCTCAGAATCACAGAATGGCTTGGCTTGGAAGGGTCCTTAGAAATTGCCTTGTTGCAGCCCTGCTGCCAAGGACAGGGACACTTTCCACTGGACCAAGTTGGTCTGACCAACACCCAGCCTGGCCTGGAGCGCTGCCAGGGATGGGGCAGCCACAGCTTCTGTGGGCAGCGTGGGCCAGGGCCTCAGCAGCCTCAGAGACCAGAATTTCCTGCCTAAGCCCTCCCTGTGGCCCTGGGAAGCCACTGGCGCTGGCGCTGTCCCTGCAGGCCCTTGCAAAGAGCCCCTCTGCAGGTGTGTGCTGGGCCCCGTGCAGGGACTGAGAGGCTGCAGGAAGGTGTCCCTGGAGAAGGCCTGGCAGAGCCGTGGGGCCAGGAGTGCCACCATGGGGGCAGCAAGAGGGGCCTGGCACGGCCGTCGGGGCAAGAGGGCACAGGGCTTGGGCCAAGGCCCTGCCAGCTGGAGCAGGGAGCTCTGGAGTGCAGCTGGCAGAGAGCCGTGGGCTCCCACAGCTCTGCATCCCTCACGGCTGAGGCAGCTGCCCAGGCAGAGCCGGCTGGGGACACGCGGCCACCCTGGAGCCACCCGCAGGGGGACCCTGCTCTGGGGCCAGGCCAGGCCGCAGCAGGGAGCACCCATGGGGCTGTGCCTGGGGAGGGAATGGCTCTGCCCAGAGACACGGCTCTGACAGCAGGGCAGCAGGGACAGCAGTGCCGGGCATGGTGAGAGGGGGACATGTGTCTGCAGTCACCGTCAAGAGCAGAGAGGAGCCTTGTCAGTCGCTGCAACTCCCAGACATGCCAGTTGGGCTAGTGCAGGTCAGGCTCTGCTCCCAGGAAACAAGGCGGGGGACAAGGGGAAATGGCCTCAATTTCTGCCACGGCAGGATTCGACTAGGTACTGTGGAAAAATTTTGCCTCTGAAAGGGCTGTCAAGCAATGGGACAGGCTGCCCATGGAATTGGTGCAATTGTCATTGCTTGAGGCACTTCAGGAATGTGTAGATGTGGCACTTGGAGACATGGTTATGAGGTGGACTTG